GCTCTGCTTCCTGTCCCATCCCCCTCCTGACCAGCCCCACCCCACTCCCGGTGGGTCGTCCCCCCCCCGCCCATGATCAAGTGTGTCCGGTTTTTGGTGGGGTCTACCTGGTAACCCTGCTCCACACACAGGCCAGTATCTGGAGGGCACCCCTGGCGCAGCATGAACGCCACCTCTGCTCCACCTCGCCCAAAGGGGGAGACCCAGGAGTGGCAAAGGCAGGACTGGGGCAAAGATTCTCCTCTGCAGCTGGGTGCCAGGGCGTGCAGGGCTGGGCGGGGAATGCCGGCAAACCCTCCCCGTGCCCGGGAAGGAGCTTTTTCCATCACCCACATTCCTGACCCGCCCCCCGGGTGCAGCGGAGCCGCGAGGCTGGTCCCCCGTTCTGTGCACACACGGATGCAGGCAGCCCTCTCCCAGGCACCTGGCGCCAGCGGGAGGCCCACGCACTCCGAGCCAGGAGACCACAGCCCCTGCCAGGCACACTCGCTGCGCTCCCCACCAAAGCTGCTCCGCTTCCCCTCCCCGGGGCCTTCGATTCACGGCACTTCCCGGCCACTCACCGACCCCTGCAGCTGGAAGCCTTCATCAGGGCCCCGCGGCTCGGCCCCCCCGGCCAGGCACCTGGCGCCAGCGGGAGGCCCACGCACTCCGAGCCAGGAGACCACAGCCCCTGCCAGGCACACTCGCTGCGCTCCCCACCAAAGCTGCTCCGCTTCCCCTCCCCGGGGCCTTCGATTCACGGCACTTCCCGGCCACTCACCGACCCCTGCAGCTGGAAGCCTTCATCAGGGCCCCGCGGCTCGGCCCCCCCGGCCGGCCCTGGCAGGCAGCCTGCAGTGCTCCTGGCAGCTGAGCAGTGGGTGCAGGGAGGAAGGAGCCGGGCGGGGCTGCGGGCGACGGGCGTTCGTTGGGGAGGAGAGCCCCTGGGTTCCCCATGGAGCAGGCTGGAACGGAGACTGGGAGAGCCGACAGCCTGCGGGAGTGAGGGATGTCTGGACGCTTTCAGCAAGGCGGGGGGGATCTGGGCTGGCACCGAATCTGCCGATTCTCCGTACAGAGACATGGTCCTCACAGAGACCTCCCGGCACATCTGGAACATCTGTAGCTGGGACAGCTCCACCAGGACACTGCCGGCGGTGGGCGACGCAACCTCCATCACCTACAACAGAGAAACGGGCAGGGGTCCTCTCCTGGGCATAAGTCCCGGCTCCCAGGAACCGATGGAGACACGCCTGAGCCAGCAGCAATAGCAGCGGCTGCACACGTCGGCCCACGAGCCGAGGTACGTGGCCTCCAGCAGCCCCCTCTCCCCTCCTGAGGCACGTGGCCTCTGGCAGCCACCTCCCCCCTACTGAGGCAGGTGCCCCCCAGCAGCCACCTCTCCCCTACTGAGGCATGTGGCCTCCAGCAGCCACTTCTCCCCTACTGAGGCATGTGGCCTCCAGCAGCCACTTCTCCCCTACTGAGGCATGTGGCCTCCAGCAGCCACTTCTCCCCTACTGAGGCATGTGGCCTCCAGCAGCCACTTCTCCCCTACTGAGGCATGTGGCCTCCAGCAGCCACTTCTCCCCTACTGAGGCATGTGGCCTCCAGCAGCCACTTCTCCCCTACTGAGGCATGTGGCCTCCAGCAGCCACTTCTCCCCTACTGAGGCATGTGGCCTCCAGCAGCCACTTCTCCCCTACTGAGGCATGTGGCCTCCAGCAGCCACTTCTCCCCTACTGAGGCATGTGGCCTCCAGCAGCCACTTCTCCCCTACTGAGGCATGTGGCCTCCAGCAGCCACTTCTCCCCTACTGAGGCATGTGGCCTCCAGCAGCCACTTCTCCCCTACTGAGGCATGTGGCCTCCAGCAGCCACCTCTCCCCTACTGAGGCATGTGGCCTCCAGCAGCCACCACCCCCCTACTGAGGCACGTGGCCTCCAGCAGCCACCTCCCCCCTACTGAGGCACGTGGCCTCCAGCAGCCACCTCCCCCCTACTGGCCTGGCCTGGCCTGGGCTGGCCCCAAGCTCCCGC